CCTCTTGAGTAGAAGTTTTTGGACCCATGAAGACCACCCCCAAAATTTTGGAAGAAAAGAAATCCCTCATCGACCGACCAATCTGCTTACCCATTGTATTTCTCTATTATTAATCCTCTCACAAATTACAGCCTTTGGGATGCACTCCATGCTCTGAGAATGATGAGGCGGAAGATACAAAAAGGAAATATGATTGCTAGAGCAGTTGGACTTGCCGACATCCAAATCCTTGTGACATTCACTAATGGTGGGCATATGCAACTCCGACAATGGCTCCAGAAGATCAGGAGAAGGATTTGTCGTTGGCTCATAAACACTAAATTTAAGTTCACCTCATACATCAGTCTGGGCGTGGTACTTCACATCAGTATCTTTGAAATGCTGATAACTTTTGTCTTGATTTTTAAGCTCTACAATTTCGTGTATGTCAGAGTACACTTTATCATCAAAACTTGTTCCAGCCATGCCTGCAAAAAAAAAAAAAAAAAACCTAAGAAAATGGGGGCAGTAAATCTCTTAAATTGGTTTATTGTCTAAAATCACGAGTCTTTCAAATATGCAAGCAACCTCTATAAAGTGCCTGGAATAGTCGAAGGAAAATGTCATTGGTCCTTAACACAAAGTGTCTTGGACAGTGAAAGGAACAAGTCCTTGGTCCTCAGCATAAAGTGTCTTGGACAGTTGAAGGAACATGTCTTTGGTCCCAAAAATGAAGTGCATTGGACGGTAGAATGAGTCATTCCTTGGTCTTTATCCCAAAGTGTCTTGGACAGTTGAAGGAACAGGCCCTTGGTCCTTAACACAAAGTGTCTTGGACAGTTGAATGAACATGTCCTTAGTCCTCAACACAAAGTGTCTTAGACAGTTGAAGGAACAGGTCCTTGGTCCCAAAAATGAAGTGTCTTGGACGGTAGAGGGAGCCAGTTCTTGGTCCTTAGCTCAAAGTGTCTTGGACAGTTGAAGGAACATGTCTTTGGTCCCAAAAATGAAGTGCCTTGGACGATAGAAGGAGCCAGTACTTGGTCCTCAACATAAAGTGTCTTGGATAGTTGAAGAAACAGTCCTTGGTCCTTAATACAAAATGTCTTAGACAATAGAAGGAGCCAATCATTGGTTCTTAACATAAAGTGTCTTGGACGGTCGAAGGAACAAGTCATTGGTCCTTAACACAAAATATTTTGGACGATCGAAGGAATGGGTTCTTGGTCCCCAACAAAAAGTGCATTGGGTGGTGAAAAGTGACAGTCCTTGATCCTCAATGTGTATGAAGGTTTACAATTTTAAATTTGTTCATAATCATATATTTCCTGAACTCATAAAATATCTGGAAAAAAAAATTAACCTCTACATGAAGAAAATTTTGAACCTAAAAATTCTTGATTCGCTTCAAAAGGTTGAATCCCCGCACACAAAAAAATGTCAGTTTCCACTTTGTTAAAACAAAAATACAAAATAATAATGATAACAACACTAACAATTAAAAAAAAAAAAAAAGGAATCAAAATAAAAAGACAATCAAAAAATAAAAAAAATAAAAAATGAAAGAAATAAAGATAAAAAAAGGAAGAAGAAACAAATAAAAAAATAAATAGCATGGCGGACTTGACTTTGGTTTCCGTGAAACCAAAGTTTTCTTTGGTCTTCCACCACCTGGCCATATATATATAAACAAAAAAATAATAAAATCAAAGATTAAACGTAGAAACTGAGACCAATTGGATCCAATTGGCCTTGTCTAAAGTAGGGGTGGGCTCGGGTCGGTTCGGTTCGGTTCTTTTTAGAATCAAACCAAACCAAAATTTTTGGCTATCTAGTAAATGGAATCCAAACCAAAATTTTCGAGTATCTAGTAGATGGAATCCTCGGGTCCAAATATAATTATGGAACCGTTCGAGTTCGGTTCGATTCGGTTCTGTACTATAATTAATTTTTTTTAACATTTATAACACCATTATATAAATACAACTAATGATACATTCAATGATTTTGGAATGCCATAGAATAGTAGACTACCTTGTTCAAATGATCGCTACGGTCAAAATTTCGGTCGGTGGAGGTCATAACTTCGATCGGAAGTCACAGTATCGGCCGATGATTGTATAGGTTTTGAAATGTCAGCGAGGCTGCGAGAGTGAGTCCGAGAGTCGAGACAACGTTATGCACTTTAGTGTAGGTGTTTGAGTTATTTAGTGGATTGGATCTTGTTGGGCTAAAAAATGAAACAATAAAATGGGTAATGAGGCCAAAAATTAAAAAATTAGAAATGAAACAAATTATTGGGGCCAAAAATTTGGATTTAGAAATTGTTAATTTATTTAGAAAAAATTAAAATTAAAATAATTTGATTTACTCAATATAAAAAAAATAGAAAGATTTGGTTTTTATTCGATTTTTCAGTTCTTGGTCGAGAACCGAGAACTGAACCGTACCCGTCGGTTCTCAATTCAGATACCATTCGGATATTTAATTTGACAAGAACCGTCGGATTCGGTTCATTTCGATTTGGATTTGGTTCGGTCGGTTCGGTTCGAGAAATTTGCCCAATCCTAGTCTAACGTAAAATATGTATTAAAGGAAATAAAAAAAATAAAGATAAAATAAAAGAAAAACTTATTTAAAAGTTTTTGCTTCTGCCAGTAACTAGCCGGGCTGAGCCGGTTCGCGAGCCTAAAGTTTCGGCTCGAGCTTGGCTCGGTTAAAATGGGCGAGCTTTTTTGGGCTCAAACCGGGTCGAGCAAAAGCTTGATAAAAAAAATAGGCTCAGCCCGAGCTTTTGCTCAGGTTTTTTACGGGCCGAGCCGGGCAGGCTCGTTTTCTCCACTTTTTTTTTTTTAATTAATCTTCTAATCTGCTGCCTTTTAAGCCAGCAGACTTTAAGGCAGCAGTTTTGCTGCCTTTTAGGCCTTCAATTTAATTTAATTTTTTTTATTAAAAAGCTCGCTAATTCACGGGCCGGCTCTGGCAAAGCCCGTGTCCCCAAAATGGGGCTCGGCTCGAGCCTAGGCTCGGACTTTTCCCGAGCCGAGCCACGGGTGGCCGTAGCTGGCGAGCCAGATTGCCATCCCTAGTCAGAAACCAAAGTCCCAAGGTCTTTGGTTCCGACGGTGCCAACAGGGAAGAAGATTAATTATTAAAAAAAAAAAAAACTTTGGAATGTTCTGCCATGTGTAGAAACAATTAAAATTGGTATATGTTTCTTGATTTTCACGTTTCGGCTGCGACAGAAACAAAAGGAAAAAATATATATATTATATTAAAAAAAAAAACCAATATCGTTTCTGCCAATAGCAGAAACCAAAATCAACAATTGGCTTTGGTTTTAGCATGGTTTTCAACAAAAACCAAAGCAAATTAAAACCATGTTCATTTTGCTTCTATTGGATTTGTCGGCCACGGAACCAATTAAAACGAATTCCCTGATTTTTTTGGTTTCCAGCATATGGGCGGGAACGAATAAATAAAAATTGAGAGAAGAAAACGAGAGAGATAAAAAAAAAATAAAAAAAATTATTTTACCTCTGTTTGCAAAATTTAACAGACTTGTTCCCAAGTCTCATAATTTTTTCATATAAATAGACCGGTAACGGACTTCACTTAAACCCAATTTACCATGAAAAATAAAAAGTCTGTTCAAATCAGATTTATTATGGGTCTATAAAATAAATAAATAATCAAAATTCAACCAAAAAAAAAAAGAAATTTTATTCTCGAATTTGAAGGATAAATTTTTTATTAAAGTCACGTTTTATTCTCAAAATTTCATCTGTATTAATTTACTAATGAAATGTTTGAGATAAAAAAAATCAAAATTGAACAAATCGAAAATAAGATCGAAAATCAAGATTTATTAATTTAATTATTTCATAATAAATGAATAAATCTCGAGGGGGCATTTGTGACATAAAAAATAATAAATAAAATAAAATTGATTGGATCGATTTAAATAATTAGCCCAATTAAATTAAAGTATACTAAAGTTCATAAAACCCAAGGGCCCATCCCAAATTTTAAATAAATAAACAAACAAATAAATAAAACCATAATTACTCAATTATCTATTTTAATTAAATATAATTGAGTAATTACTAAAATTAGCACAAATTATCTCCTACAAATAGGACCAATGGTTCATAAGAAGAAGGGAAGAAGCTTGCAAGAACAACGGAAAGCAGAGGAGTCAACCACGAAGTGCTGAAGAAGTTCCAAGGTCGGAGGAAGGGAAGAAATTCTCTAAAATTTAAACTTGGTGAATCCCAAGAAGATCAAAATCTTATTCGAAGCAAATAGGTTCACGTCAAGTTTAAGAAGACCAAAGTCTTATTCAAATCAAATCAAATTCAAGTCCAAGTCCAACCCTCAAGATTCAAGTTCCGAACAAATCAAATCTCAACAAATCAAACTTTTAACAAATGCTCGAAGACTAGAATTCAAACCACGTCGCCCCTCGTCTTCAAATATTCAGATCTTCAATTAGAGGAGTTTTGCAATTACAAGAGGTCAATATCACTTGTATTTATCAAAGTACAATTTGTAACAATTTATGTATTTTAATACACGAAATTTGTCGTACAAATTTATTGGCCAAAATTTCATTGTCTTAAAATTTAATGGTGTGATAGGATGCCACATATGCATTCCGTCATTCACGTCACCGTTTCGTTCGAGGTTTAAACTGAATGTTATACTAGTTAGTAATGCCCGATATTTTTCAATGTTTAGTAGTTAAAACTCGATATCTTAAACTTGAACAATTAAAATCAGAGATAACTTCAATGACCATTGTAACAATTTAACTCCATAATGAAATTTGAGAAACGAATTGTCATCTATATTGTCTCGCATCGTGCACTAATGTCCAATGTCTCTACTCTATGAAGTTTCAATTTAATTTCTATTAACTTTATGGTAAAAGATTATACGTATTCCTTTCCATCAATCAGGCACTGAAAAGTTCAAAAAATTTTAGAAACATACGCCAACAACAATCTTGCTACAAGTGACAAACTCAATGAAAAGCTCAATAATATGATTAGACAGTTTAAAAAAAATAAAAAGAATATGCTAATTGTATATAATGTGATGTTCATAACAATATCCACCCCTCACATGGAGAGAAATCCACTTCGAATAAATTATATTTTATTTGATGTGGATTCCCCTCCATATGAGGAAAATAGACATCGTTATGGACACCCTGATGTACGCATAGCATAATCCAAGAAAGGGAAAAAAAACACACACCACCCAATCCCACCCTGCCACCCCCACACTGTCAGCTGCCCCTGTTCGAGGAGCATTATTCTTCCCACAATGCACACGTCAAATGCAAATACTTTCAAGGGGGAAAAACTGGCTGAAAATCTGCTTCCTACCATAAATTGCAAATTACAGAACAAAATATACGATGTTGTTATCTGTTTCGATCCTTCATCCTCCGAAGAAAAACATATACAAGATCAAAGATTACGCATTTCCGGCAAATATCTTTGGCAAGACAGCAGCTGAGCAAACTCCAAACGGAAGAATTGATGTAGACTTACTTTCCGAATGATGCAACTCTTCTCTTACTACACAACTGCAAGCAGGAACTACAAACAGCTCAGTCCCAGGTAGGGTTCACAAGAAGTAATCTGGAGTCTTGCGAGTTGTGTCAGGTTCAATCTGCCGAGGAGCTGGGTCGAATTGGAGGAAATTCTGCTCCATATTCTCCCCGATTTCAAGTATTGCAGCCATGTTTCCACAGCGGTAACAATAGTTTGGAGCACTAAAAACTGTCACCACATTCTTCTCCTACGATATAAAATGAGCATAATTGTTAATTATATGCAGAGAAATAGCATAATTGGCCCCTAATCCATTGTTCGAGTAGCAAACCGGTTGGTCATTGACATTTGCACATTAAACCCCCAACATAAATACTTGTTGTCCTTGTTAAATCATCACGTGTTCCTTGTGGAAACATCCCTCACTTCCAATTTCTGGGTCAAGTTGGAAACAAAATCTAGCTTCAAAAAGTTGGATAATTGAGGGGCACATGACGACTTAACAAAAATTTGAAAATTTGGATGTTTTCGTTGCTAGAGAATGATTGTGCAACTATAACACAAGGTTGTGACCAACTTGTTACTTGGGGAATAGGTGGGAGACCAATACTGCAATTTTCTTGTACGTAAAGTAATCTTTGAGCTGAGAGAGAGGAAGCCACATGATGCATTCAGCTGATATAAATTCACAAACCTGACACCAATTGAAGCCCTCCATGACAAGCTGGTGGGCTCTGGAAATCAGATTTAGGCCATTGGTATGGTTAAACTGAGCAGCTATATCCTGTCCAAATGTGTAGCCAGCCCCACGTGGTGATATTCCCCATCCACATCGGTCATCGGGATCAGACCACAGGAGATCGCACATTGGTCCTTCATGTGGAACCTACCAATTCACCAACAAACATGTTGATAGGCGAGTTGTGAACAAAATAATTCGACCCTAATATATCTTGCTCTTTGGAAAAAATTCATTCCACAGAGCTTCTAATGTCAAGGCTAAGCAGATAAAAGAACAAAGGATTTTGCCATCAATCGAACTGAAATTATTAACATTAAAGAACATTGAAAACCTCAAATCGTAAAGAGACTTTGCACCACCAACAGTGAACAACCCTCACCCCACTCTCCACTCACACACAAAAAGTAACCTCAGTGAAAGAAATAGAGTGATGAAAAGAAGAAATCTTAAAGCATATTAATCCCAAGGATCACATTTCCATTACCTCTTGTATACGGTCCAAAGCTCGGATATTGTCCAAGGTATCCAGAGATGGCGAAAGACCCCCATGCAAACAGAAGACCTACAAGGAAACAATATATAGGGTTAGAAGTAATCAGGTTAGTCTATCAAGTTATAAAGGCATGTAGAGTTATCATCAAAACCTGACTCTCGATCAGTGCTGTCAGGGGTAGATAATCAAAAAGATCGGTGAAATACTTCCACACATTGGCATTGCCATACTTCCTCAAGCACTCATCATAAAATCCGTAACTGCAGTGCAAATAAGTTAATGAATCTGAACATAAGCACATCCAAAGGCAGAGAATTTTAAGCTTTAGGCAATTGTTTAATTTCAAATATTTATGTCAAACTACTTTTTTTACTACCAGCACAATGGAGATAGCACAGGGTCTTACACTTGAGTGATTTGCCGACTTTCATGATTTCCTCTAAGAATAGTGATTCTATCTCTATAACGAACCTTCAGAGCCACTAAAAGTGTGACAGTCTCCACTGAGTAGTACCCACGGTCTGCAATAAACGTCATTTTATTACTTGAATGTTTTCAGTAGCAGTACCATCTTAGCAAGAAAATAAACTTGCATAACAATTGGCAAGCATGAATCAAACGAGAGAGGTATCAATCAAAGCACAGAGGAAAACACATATAGCAAACCTTCTGGGATACACTTCGTTGGATGATTACAATTTCTATACAGGGATAAACCAATACTTGGTGACAATTATTGACAGCGTTTCTGTCAAGGCCGCCAAACTTAGTTGCTAATCTTAAAAAAAAAAAAAAAAAACCAAAGGCGAAAAGGTAAAGGGGGAAAGAAAAGAATCTTATGACACAGAGAACATTTTCTAATTGGTATAAGGTCATGGAGGAAAACATTTATGGCAGTGTACTTCCTGAAGCTTCTAACATTTTTACGAAAAGACAAAAAAAAGATTCAAAAGCAGCAGCAAAGCCTGTTTCTAAGCTGGTGCAGAAAGCAACACGCATATCTGCTCCACCAGTAACATGTATGGTTGGCATCCAAACCTTAAACTAAATATTGTTCGGACAATGGAACATCAAGACAGTCAGCTTTCCATATCATATGAAATCAGCTAAAGTTCCATCAAAGCATTGTCCAAAATGAACTGTGCACTGCATTCACAGGAATACATCTCTTCAGCCACAATTTCCTCAAACACAAATCAACATAAACCAAACCTTCCATCCGTAACTGGAACATTATGCTCTGCTATACCCAAACACTTGGTTAATAGACGACAAACATAAACAAACAACCATAAATCGCTAAAGCCGATTTTCAGGCCAAGCACAGATAGCTGATGACTGGAAATAATGCAGCGCCACAGAAGCTGAATAACAAATTCCCATGCAAAGGATTACTAAACATATATAGCTGCCAAATTTAGATTTCATTCACATATTTACCCAAATTCAAGCAGCAGATCTCAAAACACAATTTAAGCATCACATTTGACACCTATTCACACTGCTTTTAATAGATCAAAACTCTAAGTTCGCCTACAACCAAGAACATAAAAAGGAAGTAGATGTTAACGATATCATTTTCCTCAAATACCCTTCAAAATCACCATCAACCTCAATTGTGAATTCAAGATTTACCCAAGTAAAATACTCCAGTATCCAGATAGACAGTATACTACAAATACAAATCAGAAACCTCTTTTCTTTCCCCATAATTCCAGGAAAAGCACAGAAAAACTCACCAACATAGTCTCCCATAAATAGGTAATTAGTGTCTGGAGCATCGCCGCCTATCCGGAAGAGCTCGATCAGATCATAGAACTGGCCATGGATGTCACCGCAGACAGTGACAGGGCATTTCACCGGCTGCACATTCCATTCCTCCACCAGAACCGCCCGCGCCTGATCGCACAGAGTTTTCACCTCCATCTCTGACAGGGGCTTGCACTCCATCAATTGCTCTATTTGCCTGTCCAAATCCCCAGGAGCCGGCATTTTCCCAATAACTTTTTGAAATATAAAAAAATCTTCTCGCTTTCTAAATTCCTTTAACACTTCGATCTGATCTTCAAATATCCAGAAAATATAAAATTAATTTTCTAACCTAATTATCTGAGATCTACGTTTTAGAAATTCAAACAGAAATTGATTCAGATATATTCATTATTTTCTGTTTACGAATCCTTCCATTTTCATAACAATCAGTAGTCACCCTATCTCTAAAAATGATTATTAAAATTTTCTGTATATACACATATAACAGTGTATGGATGCAGAAATTCAATTAAAAAGAAAGATATGGTGGAATGCGAAATGAAACTCAAATTAATTCGAAATGAAATCAAGCCTGCAATTCTCTCCTTTTTTCTCTCTCTTATTCACACACAGTTGTGTGTGTTTATGTGTGGGAGAGTGGGTGTATGATGGAAATTTCTTGCTCGGTGTCTCCGCCGTGTGAAAATCAAAGGGGTGTAGCCGTGTAGGAACGTCTTGAGTTGGTGGCTGCTCTTTCTTCGGAATTGAAATTTGTTGTCCAAAATTTCAGGTTCACTAATAAATGATTGATATATCACATATATTTAACATTTCCCGTTTAGCCCCATTTTTTAAAACGGAAATGAGTGGAATGTAGTTTTTTTTTTAATTTTAAAAATGAGTAATTGAAAAAGAATGAAAGATTTTTGATTTATGTGTAATATTATTTTATAAAATATTGTGTGATTGAAAATAAAAGAAAGAAAAATGAAATCTAATGAATTTTAATGTAATAAAATTCAAACAGAGGCTAAAGTGTCATATAAATATTAAAAATAAATAGCAATGAGAGAAAAGCTGAATATGTAATTTAAAATTACGTGTCTTTCATTTTTTGGATGGAGAATAAGCCTCCGTCTGGTCCCCATTAATTTTTATTTTATTACATTCTATTTTTTTTTCCTATTTTCAACTACACAATTTTCTATAAAATAATATTACACGTAAATCGAAAGTTTGCCTTCATTTTCAATCACTTATTTAGAAAAAAAAAATATTATTCCAACCATTTCATTTCCAAAAAATAGGGGCCAAACGAGGGCTAAATTGTAGCAAATTTTCGACCTCAACTCCTTTTGTCGTGAGAAGAATTTGGCATAAGATAGGCTTTGGTGCATCAGTGCATGCATGTGATTACTTGGGCCTTTTAATTTGATCGTGGTCCAAAATATAAAGTTTAATAATTCTTAATTTTTGTTTTGTGAAAGAATTGCTAAAGAAAAAAGTATTGTGCGTTTGGTTTAATGTTTTCAATTTCACAAAACATTCAAAACTTATTTGGTCTAATATTTTTGAAAATACATTTTCAAAAGTAATATAAACTTATTAAATGAAACTCAATGAAAAAGTTGAGAACACTCAAAATATGGTAAATAAGCGTTTAAATTTTATTTAAATAGAATTCTAAAAATTAAGAGTTCTAAAAAATAAAATATAAATTCTAAAAAACACAATTCAATTAAAAAAAAAATATAGAAAAAATTAAAAATTTAAAACATTAGAAAAATAAAAATAGTTCAAACTCTCTTAATGATCATTTACATAAAAAATTAATTTTTAGAAAATAAAAATTATAAATTATAAAGAAATGCAAAATTTTTCACACTCATACTACTATTTATTTTAAAATTTTAGAAAATATATATTTAAATAAACACGTATAAAAAATTTCAATCCATGCTATTTGTTGAACCAAAAAGATTATTAACAAATATCTCTCATCTAGTCAGAATTTTAATTTCCTAAAATGACAATGCAGTATGTTCAATAAAGAGCAAAAGGTAAAATGACTATCTAGGTGAGAGAGGTTTGAACTTGCTTGTCATCATTCTCTTAGACGAGAGTATTTATAAATTTGCTCAAGATTTTGAAGGTGTTGGTTTATTTTAAAGAATAATAGATGGTAGTCATTTAATGGTGGGTTTGTAACTAATTTTGTTATGCATTCACGTGTTATTCATCAACTAATATGTCATATATTCATTGGTTTAGAAGTCATAGTTTACATATTTACTCACATATGTTTTATTAATGACTTTTGCCACCATGAAAGGGATGGTTCGTGCATTTTTTCTTGTGTGCTTTTGTGCTTGATGCTTTCACTTAGCTTCGCATGTAGTTAAACTTATTTTAGGATGTCACATGTTTGACTAAACTTAAAAGTAATTAATTTTTTCTAACGTATTTTTTCATATATTGCTTATTTATACTTGTGAGTTAAAAATTTATTTATTTCGACCACGAAATGGAAATATGCTTTATATTTACTTTTATCATTTAAAAATATATTTGTTAGAATTTTGTCATAAATATTTAAAAATATATCTTGACCCATTTTGTCATTAGCGTGAAGAGTGTAACATTTTAAACTAAATCTTCAGTAGCAAAGAGCATTTATAAAAAAAATTCAATTTTCAGCCCACCCTATCATATCTTCCTGGCTCCGCCCTTGTTAGACGCCCAACGTTCAATAACTTTTGTTTTTAATATATCACTTTAAATAAACTTAACCTTAAGATAACATTTAATACTCAATTAATTATATGTGTAAGCTCACATGATAAATTAAAACCCAATAGCACCAAGTCAAGTTTAAGGCAACTTTAACTCTCAAACTGTAAGATTGCTCTCATCCATATATTCGTACACATTTTCGGTGTTCTTAACACTTCTGTGACTTGCACTTTAAGTTCATCCGGCACTCACTATATTTATTTTTGTCAATTAACTTAATCGTTGGTGTTACCTGTTTGCACACTCGGACAACCTACCGGGGTCCACAGTCAACTCATGCTGAACCACGCGGCACTGAAGTCGAGGTGATTGGGATTTTCAAGGCCCACAAACCGAGGTCCACAGAAGCCTAAACCCATATATACCGAAGCCCCACATGCAGAGACCCTGTTGGCCAAAGCTCTGTAGCCAAGCTAGCAACCTCCGAATCACAAAGCAGCATCTTCCATAGACACTTCTCCAAAGAGATCCTCTGCACAAAGATCTTACTTGAATGATTGATAGGACATTTGTCATGAGTGTAAAGGTCATGTCTTGTCACTGGTAGAGACGGCTCTATTAATCAATAAATGTATAACAAGCTAGGTGCAGCTGATGCCTACAATTTCACATGTAAATTGTTCGGATGAGGCCACGTGTACCCCGAACCAAGGGTCATGATCTAACTTGTGACGCTACAAATACTCTCCCATGTACCCCATACAAAGGAGAATGCAAGAATCAATACAAGGAACAACACTTTACTCAACTCTCTCTTATTATCTTGCAACACAATATTAGTTTACACATTTTTACATATACATTTACAAACATCGATTGGTAATTATTGTACAATCAGTCTACGATCATCTCGCCGGATTCCGAATGTTCTCGTCCCGCGTCGTTGAGCTACTCCTGCGCCCTTGATCTATCTGTTTTAGACTGTCCACGTGTCTTTGCGTGTTGGACTTTCGCTTATGTGTGCGCGAGTGGGTCTGGCATCTGTTGGCAACATTTTTTGGGATCAACAGATTGGGCCTTGCCGTCCATATCCTCGATCTGGTATGTCCCAGGTCGGATCTCCTCTTTGATTCTATACGGGCCTTCCCAATTTAGACCCAAGGTACCGGTGCCTGGTTCCTTAGAGGAGAGGAAGACTCTCTTAAGGACCAGGTCGTTGATTCGAAATGACATCTTCTTCACCCTTGAGTTGAAGTACTTCGTCATCTTTCTTTGATATGTGGCAAGCTTCAGCTGCCCGTCATCTCTTCTTTCCTCAATGAAGTCGAGGTCGAACCTCCGGAGCTCGTCATTTGTTATTTCACTGAAGTGTAGACGTCAGGGGGATGGAAATTCGACTTCGACGAGGCTCATTGCTTCAGTTCCGTATGCCATGAGGAAATGTGTTTCCCTTGTGGGGGTCCTCGTTGTGGTTCGAATTGCCCAAAGCACTTGTGGTAGCTCATCCACCCAGGTCCCTTTTGACACATCAAGCTTTCTTTTCAGGACATGTTTGATTGTCTTGTTCACAACCTCAACTTGGCCATTTGCTTATGGGTGGTGAGGGGTGGAGAAGTGCTTCTTCATGCCAAGTTCTTCACACAAACTTTTGACCTTCTTGTTGCCGAACTGTTTACCATTGTTTGAGACGATTGAGCAGGGAATCCCGAACCAGCATATAATGTTTTTCCACAAGAACTTGGAGGGTTTGCCTCTGTAATTTTTGCCAGTGGTTCAGCCTCAATCCACTTCGTGAAGTAATCAATGGCCACAATTGTAAAGCTCGCGCCTCCTCTGTCTTTTGGTAGAGGACCTATGAGGTCCACACCCTACTTCAAGAAAGGCCAGGGCTGGAGACCGCAGTCAAATCTTGCGATGGTTGTTTTTGAATAGGAAAGAATTTTTAGCATTTGTCACATTTTCGTACAAACTAGAGGGCGTCCTTTTTCAAGATAGGCCAATAGTACCCCTGTCTCAGTATTTTTTGTGCCAAAGATAGACCTCCAAAGTGGTTACCGCACACTCCCTCCTGGACTTTCCTTAAAATGTAGGTAGCCTCTTCTCCTCCCACGCATCGAAGGAGTGGGGAGAAGAAGCTCCTTTTGTAGAGTACATTATCAATGAAGAGGAAATGAACTGACCTTCTCCTTAGCTTGTAAGCTTCCTGCTTATTAGCGGGAAGTACCTGGTCCTTTAGGTAGGCAACGATGGGCTGCATCCAGGTAGGAGTCCTGCAACCCACATCACATTGGGGGCCTCGATTGATGGTATGAGGAGGTGCTCTATTGAGACTATTGTGAGTAATTCGGAGTCCTTGCTAATTGCAAGTTTGAAGAGTGCATCCGCATGTGCATTTTCAACACGGGGGATCTGGATCAACTCAAACTTTTCAAATGATGGGACGAGGTTCATCACCATTTTTAAGTAAGAGGCCATGGTTTTGTCTCTGGCCGAAAAGTTTCCGTTTACCTGGCTAACGACCAGCTGGGCCCACATGAAGTCCTCATACTCTGCCACATTATTGGTGGCCTTGAACCCGAACCTTATAGCCGAGTTCAGCTTGTGACCTTCTGGGCTGATGAGGACAACTCCGGCACATGAACCGGTGTCCCCAGACGATCCATCCACGAATAAGTTCCACGTAGGGGGCTCGACATTTTCCATGATTTCATCCATCTTGGGTAAATTGACAAATTCTGCCACAAAATCAGCCAAGGCTTGGCCCTTGATGGCTGCCCTAGCCTTGAATACGAGGTCAAATTCACTTAACTCCACCGCCCATTTCAATAATCTTCCTGAGACATCGGACTTTTGAAGTACCTGCCTCAGGGAAAAGTTTGTTAGCGCATGTATGGTGTGGGCTTGGAAATAGAGCCTCAATTTCCTGGAAGCCATGATCAAGGCCAAAACGAGCTTCTTCATATCGGGGTAACGGGTTTTCTGCGATAGTAGTGCTTTACTTGTATAGTATATGGGGAGTTGGGTTGCCCCTTCTTCTCGGATTAGAACCGCA